GTATTCGTTTTAAGCACTGGAATATTTATGCAAAGTTTCAATCCTTTTGGATAAACCCTCAAAGAAAAAAGTGACAAAATTGATTTTGACTAGGGTCACCCCTAGTCCAAAATTGAAAATGTATTTCCTACTTGGTTCTTTGCTCAAAAAAATGTTGCGATGTTTTATTTGTATTCGTTTTAAGCACTTGAATATTAATGCAAAGTTTTAATCCATTTGGATAAACCCTCAAAGAAAAAATTGAGAAAATTGATTTTGACTAGAGTCGCCCCTAGTCCAAAATTGAAAATGTATTTCCTACTTGGTTCTTTGCTCAAAAAACTTTTGGGATGTTTTATTTGTATTCGTTTTAAGCACTTGAATATTAATGCAAAGTTTTAATCCATTTGGATAAACCCTCAAAGAAAAAAGTGACAAAATTGATTTTGACTAGGGTCACCCCTAATCCAAAATTGAAAATGTATTTCCTACTTGGTTCTTTGCTCAAAAACATTTTAGGATGTTTGATTTGTATTTGTTTTAAGTATTAGAATATTTTTGCAAAGTTTTAATCTATTTGGATAAACCCTCGAAGAAAAACGTGACAAAATTGATTTCGACTAGGGTCGCCCCTAGTTCAAAATTGAAAATGTATTTCCTACTTGGTTCTTTGCTCAAAAAAAATTTGGAATGTTTTATTTGTATTTGTTTTAAGCACTAAAATATTTATGCAAAGTTTCAATCCATTTGTATAAACCCTCGACAAAAATAGTGACAAAATTGATTTTGACTAGAGTCGCCCCTAGTCCAAAATTGAAAATGTATTTCCTACTTGGTTCTTTGCTCAAAAAATTTTTAAGATGTTTTATTTGTATTCGTTTTAAGCACTGGAATATTAATGCAAAGTTTCAATCCTTTTGGATAAACCCTCAAAGAAAAAAGTGACAAAATTGATTTTGACTAGGGTCACCCCTAGTCCAAAATTGAAAATGTATTTCCTACTTGGTTCTTTGCTCAAAAAAATTTTGGGATGTTTTATTTGTATTTGTTTTAAGCACTAGAATATTTATGCAAAGTTTCAATCCATTTGTATAAACCCTCGAAGAAAAAAGTGACAAAATTGATTTTGACTAGGGTTACCCCTAGTCCAAAATTGAAAATGTATTTCCTACTTGGTTCTTTGTTAAAAAAATTTTAGGATGTTTTATTTGTATTTGTTTTAAACATTAAAATATTTATGCAAAGTTTCAATCCATTTGGATAAACTTTCGAAGAAAAAATTGAGAAAATTGATTTTGACTATGATCGCCCCTAGTCCAAAATTGAAAATGTATTTCCTACTTGGTTCTTTGCTCAAAAAATTTTAAGGATGTTTTATTTGTATTTGTTTTAAGCACTAGAATATTTATGCAAAGTTTTAATCCATTTGGATAAACCTTCGAAAAAAAAAAAATGAAAAACTAGATTTTGACTAGACCTGTCCCAAGTTCATAATTGAAAATGTATTTCCTTCTTGGTTCTTTGCTCAAAAAAATTTTATGATGTTTTATTTGTATTTGTTTTAAGCACTTGAATATTTATGCAAAGTTTAAATCCATTTGTATAAACCCTCGAAGAAAAAAGTGACAAATTGATTTCGACTAGGGTCGCCCCTAGTCCAAAATTGAAAATGTATTTCCTACTTGGTTCTTTGCTCAAAAAAATTTTGGGATGTTTTATTTGTATTTGTTTTAAGCACTTGAATATTAGTGCAAAGTTTCAATCCATTTGTATAAACCCTCGAAGAAAAAAGTGACAAATTGATTTCGACTAGGGTCGCCCCTAGTCCAAAATTTAAAATGTATTTCCTACTTGGTCCTTTGCTCAAAAATATTTTAGAATGTTTTATTTGTATTTGTTTTAAGCACTTAAATATTTATGCAAAGTTTCAATCCATTTGTATAAACCCTCGAAGAAAAAAGTGACAAAATTGATTTTGACTAGAGTCGCCCCTAGTCCAAAATTTAAAATGTATTTCCTACTTGGTCCTTTGCTCAAAAAATTTTAAGATGTTTTATTTGTATTTGTTTTAAGCACTCGAATATTTATGCAAAGTTTCAATCCATTTGTATAAACCCTCGAAGAAAAAAGTGACAAATTGACTAGGGTCGCCCCTAGTCCAAAATTTAAAATGTATTTCCTACTTGGTCCTTTGCTCAAAAATATTTTAGAATGTTTTATTTGTATTTGTTTTAAGCACTTAAATATTTATGCAAAGTTTCAATCCATTTGTATAAACCCTCGAAGAAAAAAGTTTCAAAATTGATTTTGACTAGAGTCGCCCCTAGTCCAAAATTGAAAATGTATTTTCTTCTTGGTTCTTTGCTCAAAAAAATTTTAAGATGTTTGATTTGTATTTGTTTTTAGTAGTAGAATAGTTAGGCAAAGTTTCAATCCATTTGGATAAACCCTCGAAGAAAAAAGTGACAAATTGATTTCGACTAGGGTCGCCCCTAGTCCAAAATTGAAAATGTATTTCCTACTTGGTTCTTTGCTCAAAAATATTTTAGAATGTTTTATTTGTATTTGTTTTAAGCACTAGAATATTTATGCAAAGTTTCAACCCATTTGTATAAACCCTCGAAGAAAAAAGTGACAAAATTGATTTTGACTAGAGTCGCCCCTAGTCCAAAATTGAAAATGTATTTTCTTCTTGGTTCTTTGCTCAAAAAAATTTTAAGATGTTTGATTTGTATTTGTTTTTAGTAGTAGAATATTTATGCAAAGTTTCAATCCATTTGGATAAACCCTCGAAGAAAAACGTGACAAAATTGAATTTAGGGTCGCCCCTAGTCCAAAATTGAAAATGTATTTCCTACTTGGTTCTTTGCTCAAAAAAATTTTAAGATGTTTTATTTGTATTTGTTTTAAGCACTAGAATATTTATGCAAAGTTTCAATCCATTTGTATAAACCCTCGAAGAAAAACGTGACAAAATTGATTTTGACTAGGGTCGCCCCTAGTCCAAAATTTAAAATGTATTTCCTACTTGGTTCTTTGCTCAAAAAAATTTTAGGATGTTTGATTTGTATTTGTTTTAAGTATTAGAATATTTATGCAAAGTTTGAATCCATTTGGATAAACCCTCGAAGAAAAACGTGACAAAATTGATTTCGACTAGGGTCGCCCCTAGTCCAAAATTGAAAATGTATTTCCTACTTGGTTCTTTGCTCAAAAAAAATTTAGAATGTTTTATTTGTATTTGTTTTAAGCACTAGAATATTTATGCAAAGTTTCAATCCATTTGTATAAACCCTCGAAGAAAAAAGTGACAAAATTGATTTTGACTAGAGTCGCCCCTAGTCCAAAATTGAAAATGTATTTCCTACTTGGTTCTTTGCTCAAAAAATTTTTAAGATGTTTTATTTGTATTTGTTTTAAGCACTGGAATATTTATGCAAAGTTTCAATCCATTTGGATAAACCCTCGAAGAAAAACGTGACAAAATTGATTTTGACTAGGGTCGCCTCTAGTCCAAAATTGAAAATGTATTTCCTACTTGGTTCTTTGCTCAAAAAAATTTTAAGATGTTTTATTTGTATTTGTTTTAAGCACTTGAATATTTATGCAAAGTTTCAATCCATTTGGATAAATCCTTGAAGAAAAAAGTGACAAAATTGATTTTGACTAGAGTCGCCCCTAGTCCAAAATTGAAAATGTATTTTCTTCTTGGTTCTTTGCTCAAAAAATTTTTAGGATGTTTTATTTGTATTTGTTTTAAGTTGTAGAATATTTATGCAAAGTTTCAATCTATTTGGATAAACCCTCGAAGAAAAACGTGACAAAATTGATTTTAACTAGGGTCGCCCCTAGTCCAAAATTGAAAATGTATTTCCTACTTGGTTCTTTGCTCAAAAAAATTTAAGATGTTTTATTTGTATTTGTTTTAAGCACTAGAATATTTATGCAAAGTTTCAATCCATTTGGATAAACCCTTAAAGAAAATCGTGACAAAATTGATTTTGACTAAGGTCGCCTCTAGTCCAAAATTGAAAATGTATTTCCTACTTGGTTCTTTGCTCAAAAAAATTTCAAGATGTTTTATTTGTATTTGTTTTAAGCACTTGAATATTTATGCAAAGTTTCAATCCATTTGGATAAATCCTTGAAGAAAAAAGTGACAAAATTGATTTTGACTAGAGTTGCCCCTAGTCCAAAATTGAAAATTGATTTTCTTTGGTGTACTTTGGTCAAAAAAATTTTTTTGGATGTTTTATTTAAATTGACATAATTCTGACATTAATCACATACCAATATTACTTTTTGTAATGCATAGCTTAAAAAAAATGAAATCTAAAATTTCGACTACCCCATCTGAATTTTGTTCATACTCTTCACTGTGGAAACCAAAAAACAAATTCTTTATCTTAAAACACTTGACAAAATAGCGACATAATTTAGAATTAATTACTTTTTAATAATATTTTAACATTTACGAGAAAATGTGGTTCAAATAAGTGTGAAGTATGGCCAAGATTTGGACCAAAATCAGCTATACCAGTTCATAGTGTTCCCGAGGGTGACAAAATTCAAACTAAGTGTTTTTGTAGCTGACAAAATTATGACATAAATTAGGTACACTTTTGAACTGTGTCGATATGGGACTCGGCCGTAATTCAAGCCCACCCTTCAAACTTATGCTGAGCAAATCTTGGTCTATACATAAGACTTTTGATGGTGCGGTGTGAATATATCCGCATTGGGTTTCTACCCGATACACAAGTTTGAATTTTTAAACTGTTGGTTAAAAACATTGCAACAATGAGCAATAAAACAATGGAAATTAAAAAATATTAATTTTTATCAATGAAAAATATACTAAGCATATTAATCTTTAATTCAATAAATAAGTAAATTAAGTTAATATTTTCACGAAACAGAAATTAATGTTCCAACAAACGAAAATGATATAAAATAATCAATTGTGACGCTTTATTGAAAATGTTCCCCGATGTTTAATGTTTTGTTTTGTTTTTTCGCTGTGTCATTGCAAAAAGTTGCGAATTTCGGCAAAAGTCAAGTTTTAATTAAAATTTCATTTAAAAATGGATTTATACGATTTAAGTCAACAAGATATTCATTTTTTAGAAGATAAGCTATCTGAAAATCCTGAAATACTCATGAAAAAGGATTTGGTAAGTGAATTCTGTCAAAAAAAACATGTTCAAAAAAATTATTTTTTTGAATACATTAATTTTAGAATCACCGATTGCTGCTTCATTGGGCATGTCTTTCTGGTCGTGAACAATTAGTAGATATTATTTTGAAGCTATCAACACCTGATATAAATGTAGGAGATGATACGAATGCAACACCTTTAATTTTAGCAACACTTGGGGGGAAGTTAGAAATTGTAAAGTTATTAATTGCTAAAGGCGCAGATGTTAATGCCAAGAAGCAAGGTGGTCATTCTTCTCTTCAATACGCTGTTTCAAAGAATCATAAAGATATTGTACAGTATTTAATCGAAAAAGGTGCAGACATAAATATTCTGGATGATCGTTTGGATACGCCTTTACATCGTGCAGCTTCTTTAGGACGTTTGGATATAGTTAAAATATTAATTGATAAAGGAGCTAATTTGAATCGCCAAAATAGAGAACTTAACACTCCATTGCATTTAGCTTTAGAAGATGAACAACTTACAGTTGGATTTCTTCTTATTGAAGCAGGAGCGGATTGTAAATTAGAAAATCGTGCAAAACAAGCTGTAATTGATTTGTGTAAGTCAAATGTTAGAAAACAAGTACTGGAAAAATATGGTAAAAATTTTGAATAAATCTTTTTTAATGTTCCTTATAATCTAGCTTAATAGTTAAGTTCATTTTAATACATTATAGCTTTTTGATGTCGATTTCATCTTAGTTTTTAATCGTTATTGCTCCAAATTGTCCAGAAACTTCTTCGCCTAGTGTTTGCCAGTAGTTCCACTCCATATCAGCTGATAGATCAATCCCTAGCTTTGCCATAAATCCAACAAAGAGCAATTGAAATCTATAATAAAATGAAACAGAATTAAATAACAATTCACAAATTTAAATATCACAAGACACTCACTGAATCATTTTTGCTTGAAATAATTTTTTTTACTGAGCTCCTAAAGATTTAAATGGCACGGCAGTTGCGAGACTAATGAAGTGCTCCTGTTTTATTTCGCAAAATATATGATAATTCTGTCGGAATATTATTCTTGTGTTAATAATCGAGCGTGTCCGAAGGCATGACTTCATAACGACGCAAAGTTTATATTTTCGTACTCTTATCAGCGCTTTATTTAAAATTCAAAATTGATATTACCACATTTACTGTTGATTTTAAATATTTAATGGCCCTTATTGTCATCTAATCATCATAATAATCCAGTAAGTTCAATGAATGTACAGCATTACTCATACTTTTTGGCTAAAAAATATCACGTTCCACTTTTTGGTAAATGATAACAAACAATACCGATTGTCTGTTATGAGTAATATAAAGAATCTGACCACTTTGCTCTTGTCAGCACGTAAACAAGGTCAAAATTTATTTTTAAATGTTATAATGAGACTTATGCGCTCTGTTATCACATTGGATTGTACATAATGATTCCTTTACTCTCAAGTTCTCAAAAATAAACAATAATACGTGATATTTATCATTATCTCGATCTATAATTATTGGGGAATGAACTTAGTTCCTGTACGCATGAGTTGTTCAGCAATCAAAACTAGGCAATTATTTTTCAAATAAAGGACAATTTTATTTCTTATCTGATTTCTCATAATACATAATAAATGGACATAGACGCATGACGAATTACTGATAAAGTTGGATATACGGTTATTGAACTTATGTACTAACGATAGTTAAAATGTAGATCCAGTAGCTCTTAGAATAATTTCAGTAATATTGATACGGTAAGGCACAGAAAGAACATAAACTATGACATCTGCTATGTCCTCAGTACTCAATTTTTCCATTTTTTCCTCAATATGATTAACAATTTGTTGTGGTAATTTTGAGGTCTTGAATAATAAAGTATCAATTAGACCTGGGGATATGCTTGTCACACGAATGTTCTTATTATTCATTCCATTCAGTTCTAAACGCATAATTTCTGTAGCTGCAGTAATTGCGAATTTTGAAGGAATATACAAACCAAGCCGGACTGACCCTAATTCAATGACACGATGTCCTGACACAGAATTAATGTTTATGATACATCCATGTTTATTTTCCTTCATCATTGATTTATAGGCCAGTCGAGCACAGCTAATACCCGCTAAAAAATTTACATCCATGCATTTTTCTAGTTCCTCTATATTTATCTGCTCATCTAATATTCCAAAATTATTCGTCATTCCTGCATTATTAATTAAAATATCAACTCCATTTAAATTCTCTTCTATCCACTGAAATGCTGAATTTAAGGACTTGTTGTCGGTTATATCGCAAACAATTGAATGCACATTTTTGTTTTGAATCTTCCTAACTTCATCGTCTTTAATGTCTAAGCAAACTACACTCATATTAAATTCTAACAATTTTTGTAAAATTTTGAATCCACATCCAGAATTTGCTCCAGTTATTACAGCACATTTATCCTTCCACTTATCCATAATTACAATAAACTATTGCAAAAAATATCAAGCACATCTTTATATATAAATTTTCAAATGACATATGATACATGAAGTCAAGGCTTATGTGGAAATGCGGTTTAGAGATGAAACTGTGGCTGAATAGATTTAAGCAATTCACTACGAATATAAAACTTATCTAGTTCTTTAAAAATGAAAGAAAATGACAATTGACCAAATGATCATGAAGAATTTTATCATTACACCAGTTCCAAAACATAAAGCACGTGCTGGTTGTCGGATTGGATATCTGTCAGAAATAAATAAAAATTATTATAATTAGCAGACTTAAATTATTAAGAACTTACATAGCGTAAACGACTGTATGAAAAATTCTCACGAGGACATAAATCCTTATTAACCATGCAGCTACAATCGGATCAGGATCTGACAAAATATACCTATCGGAAGCAAAAGAGAATTATATTAACTCATAGAAACTGATACTCTTAAACTTACATTAAAGCAGCAAATAAGAATGCAGGAATATTTTCAAGGTCATTCATGTGTGCTCTCCGAACCCTCTCAACATCCTCATCGGTTTTGATCTCTGATTTTGGAACTGTAGCTGCGTCTTCAGGATTTGCAACTGCGCCTTTGCGAATCCGATGAAACACAGTAAGAAAAGACATACAGATGAGTTTAAGAAGAAGGAAACCTCCCCATGTGACGTAAATCCGAAACGCATGATTATTATAACTAAGTAAATCTTGATATGCCATATCCAAGAATAGAAAATATTGTTTCGGTTCCAAAAAGTAATGTTAACTGATTGACGTTCTAAAGCTTACTAATTTCCTTCATAAAAAATTGTATTGTGTTGCGCATAAAAGGAACTTTAATGTCCACTAGTGTAACACAACGAATATTCTAGGCATATTTAATATGTTGACTGTTGGTTTTCTCACGATTGTAACTTGTTTTCCTTTCCATTTAAATAAAGTAAAATGGACGATGCATTTTGATAGCTTTCCTTTTAGGGAAGTCCAAAATCAAGATGCATCTTTAGATTAATTTCTATCCAAAAGTATCTAGTTTCGCTCAATGAAAAAAACTTATCAAGTTCTGCTGAATGTAAATCACGCATATCCAAACATAAATTAAACATGATAAATTACACAAGCGTGTGAAATACATCACCAGCTTTAAAAAATCAATAAGTTAATCTTTAATGACAATTCTTTTTTTAAAAGCTCTGCTTATTTGGCTATTTTAGGTCAGCAAAGGGCTCTAAAATTAACATTTTTAATATTCCATTAAATGCTTATTTTTTGTATTGGAAAGCTTTATTTTATGTCAAAAAAAGTATTTTAACCTCAAAGTTAATTCAGCTCAAGAAGATCAGAGCTATGTTCACTAAGTTTGAAACAAATATTAGAGGTATGCATAGCTACATATATCTCCTACAAGATATTGAATTGAAAGTAAGCCTTGAGCAAAGCTAGGAAAAAGTTCGATTAACTCGTGACATAATTAATGAAATATTAAAATGAAATGAAAAAGAGAAGCTACAAATATGATTAGAATCGATAATTAATAATTGCTGTGACATGTTCATTTAATAGTTATTAACCATTCGATTATTACACGTATTAGACGGAATCAATTTTGTGACTGTAAATTATTTTTATTAGAATCTTATTTTATTAATGAGCATACATAATTATACGCATTAATCAAGTAAGGGTCGAACATTTTTTGTCAAAAATTAATTTTCAAATTCGTATGATGATAGTGGCTGATAGAATGAAAATGTATAGACATGTATAGCTGCTTATTTAATCAAAACAAAATGATATTGTAAGCTTCAAAAAACAATTAAACCTGTTATGTAAACATTTTAGCTTTAACTTCTAGATCATGATTGCATATTTACAAAACTTCTTCCTGGACAAAACCTTTTTGCTAGAATTACCATGTAAATGCCTAGAACAAGGAAGCATTCAATAAAGAGTTTTGGGTCATTAATACATTTTAATAAATTTCTCAAAGAATCGCTGATTTGAGACTTTAAAGAAATGAATGGTTAAACCAGATGAGACAATTATAACCACTTGGATGTGAGAAAAACGCCCAAAAAAATCTGACAGAATTATTTCAAAGGAAAGCTCTTTTCTCGGTTTTATTTACATGAATATAACGTTAAATTTTGCTTGTAAAGTTTCGATAAACCGACATGACTAATTCTTCTCTCGCTCTTAATTTATAAAACTAAAAGCAACGAATGTAAAGCGAGTATTAAAGAGTATCCAACAAAACTGTTTAAAAATTGTCTCTCTTTACTACTTCTCTCATTCTTAACCAACACATTGATACAGCTGCAGTCATTACGTTTTGTATTTATAGCACATTCACAACACTTTGTGAGCTCATGATCTTGAGCAGTTTGACTGTTTGGAATTTATTCTTGTATAATTCCTGAAAAAAATTTACATGGATATCGGAAAAATTTACTAATTCAATAATCAGTTTAATTTCCCAAATGAAAGTTAATCGCTTTGTGTTGATTTTGAAACATAATATGATCAGCACTAGTGAAGCATGTCTTTTTAACTCATTTTGAATTTTTCTCAATTTTTCTTTAGCTCATCATTCACTCATCAGTAATTCTGTGTTCTGCTAGCGTTTATTTTCTGGTTGTTGGAGATTTTGTTTTCAGTTGTTGGAAAACAGTGCTTGAGGCAACAAATAAAAACAAAATTAATCGTGAATTTATTTCCAAATAAAAACAATGGCAGTAGCTGATACATTAAAGTATGACAATGAAATATTTCGTGGATACATCACATGGAGTGGAATATTATTAGTCAAACTCCTTCTTATGAGCTTCTTAACAGGCATCAATCGTATCCGTAAAGGCGTAAGGAAATTATTCTTATTTTTATTACCAAATCTCTTACAAAACTTAATATCTAGGCATACGAAAACCCAGAAGATATTCGTGGACGAGAAAATGTTGAATTGAAAAAAGATGAAGATGTCGAGAGAGTCAGACGTGCACACTTGAATGATCTTGAAAATATTCCGGCATTTTTACTTGCTGGGTTCTTCTATGTGCTAACAGAACCAAATGTAGACTTAGCATTATGGCTCTTCCGAATTGCAGTTTTGGCAAGAATTGGACACACAATAGTAAATATACTTAGAATTCTTAAATAAACAAATTATCATGCTTATGTTGTACTATTAATTTACAGGTTTATGCCATTTACCCAGTACGTCAACCAGCACGAGGAATTTGCTTTATGATTTGCGTTTTCATTACGCTCTTCATGATTATCGCAAACATTGTTGCGTTCTTTAAAATTTAATTCTGATTTGTAATTAATGACATAATCCTACTTGATGTAATACAGAAGTACTAAAGATTTTTTTACCTCATCTAATAGATTTATAGATTCATCATCGATATTCTCATACTCAAATTGTTTTTAATAAAAATAGTTCTATTCCAATACCAATCTATGCCTTCATATTAATATTACAGAATTCTTTGACAGCTTGACAAAGATAGAGGCTTGTATAATGGAATCTTTAATTAAATTGGATTAGATTTAATTGGCTTTAACTACTTCAGCGATTAAAGGTCGTGTGACAATTAGATGTTACGATTTTTTATTAATTTATGAATGATCAAATTTGAATAAAATTAACTGTAAAAGCACAGACCTTTAGAACATTATTTTGATGGAGATGCTTCAACGTTTGAGTAAACATTTGAAAAAAAATATAGAGTGTTCTGCTACTTAAGTCTAGGCTTGACTGGTTTCTGTTCTTTAATATTATTTCCCAAATAACTCAATCAAATCTGCACAAAAAGTAAAACTGTCATCGAATAATTTCGCCGTCATGTCATATCAAAATATGTTGCCACATTGAGAGGAATATTGTAAATTTAATTAACATAAATTCCATATTTTACACAATTTGCTGTATGGTACGGAAATGAAATTTACATTAACATTTACTATATTTTAATTGCTGGTTTTGTCATTAACAATTTTTCTATAAGCACATAGGTATGAAAAAGACGACTTACGTAGAAAGTCAATGAACTTCCACGCCTCTATTCATAGACTTTTGCATACATTTGACTTCAACATAACTTACAGTCTTGTAATGAAAACAAGAAATGCAATTTCGAAGTGCTGTAGACAATATAAATGCTAGAGATGCTAAAGGAGTTTATCTCTGAAGGAATCATTCTTGTAAGCAGACTTTTCGAATATCCAAACGGTTCAAAAGCCAGCCCAAGGAAATTCCAAGACCTACGCATGCATTTATGAATTATTTGTCTAAAGTCTGACAAAAGAACATTAAAACTTTCAGTTAATTCTTCATTTTCAGGACATCTTGGCATATATAAAGTATTAATTCAAGCTCAAATTCTTTATACCATAATTAGTTCCTTAATTTGTATCATTTTTCTCTTGAATGCTTCAGGAATGCCATTCAATTGCTTGTCTAATCTATTCCAAATCCTTTCGCTTAAATGCCTGTATTCAGCTAAATGACGTACGAGATTATTCTGGACGTCTTTTCATTTAAATATCACTGAAATTGTTACAAATGTCAAAAGATCAAATTTTCTATTTTATTCATACAATTTTTTTCATCAAAGCAGCATTTGAAAAATTTGATTTTGAACCCAGTAATTATTTTCAACGAAAAATTAATTAAATTCAATTGATGATATTCCAGCAGTCTCAGGATATAGTGCAATGAATATTTATTGATTAAGTGATGGACGAAGCTGAATGTACGAAGCTGAATGAAGAAAATTGGAAACATCTTTGAATTTTGCCGGAGAATGTTTCAATCTGAACTGAGATAAAATTTGAAGACGATTTTGGATCAGCGCTTTTAGTGATGACTCTGCTTAATTTGTGACTTGGAATAGAAAACTGCTCGTTATCCTTTAGTTATTGAAAAGTGTAAGTCTTTGATTTTTTTTCTCTATTATAGAAAGTCGCTCAAAAAGACTCTTGCTCTGTGTGTATAGTCTTCATTTTAAAATTTCAATAATGTAGAGACTCTATTTTAACATGTTTTCCTTCTTACTCCATTTGCCATATGCTATATTTGTAATTCGGTGTAGTTGTATCTCAAAATTCTTATCATTTCATTCAAAGTGACTTTGCAAGCTATTCAGGTTTTAATTGTGTATAATGCTTCTTTTTGATAAGCATACATCAATTGTGATTTGTATACCTCAATTCATGTCTGAATCTGTGCATTTCTTATTTCTTTCTAAAGTTGAAAGTCGTAAATTGCAGGTTAAAAAGCAACAAATTCTACAAAATCTTCTCGACTTGAGTCATAAGCTCAGGGAACTCACCAATTTATTTAAGATGAAAATCCAAAAGGTAAGGAACTATTTTTTTTCTACAATCCATTTTTGTACATTTTCAACGGCAATCTCTGAAAAAATTCCAATCAGTTGTGGTCCTAATTTTATCAAGCTTACACTCATGCTTAGCGCAGGGAAAAAGATAGATTCTAAATTTCCCTTCGCATAATCATTTACTCTAAATGGCCTGTAAAATTATCTTACTTGCTACTTGTTATGTTCTGGACTTAAATATTTATGAACTTCGTTTACCTAATTCTAATAATGTTTATTTCTTTTATTTTTCAGTATGTCACCTTACAAAAAGCATATCCAATTATTCTACTTGATTATTTGTGTATTTGAAGTAATTAGTAGGAAGTTTGTATGAAGAGTACTTTCAAGTAATTAGTATTTGTATGCATCTGAAACCTGAGATACAACAGTTGCAGATGAGAAAACGATTGATGCATTTGAAGGACTTTGAGTGATTATTGTCCGAAAAATTAAGAAGTTGGCAAAGCTGTATGAACAACGATGCAAATTTGCTGGGAATCAATTAGCTGACAGAAGCATTCGAAAAATTGAACCAATTTTTGACAAACTGTGAGTGCGACAATGGACTCTCTGTGTGCTTTCAACAAGAAAGTAAGAAAATAAGCTAGTTATAAGTTAACTCCTATTAAATGCAAATTTTTCTTGTGGATAGATAGAGAATTCTAAAACGCTAGAACTCGACCAAAAGCACGCAGTTGTCATTTAAAAAGAATACAAGAAAATGACAAAAGAACGAGCTCTAATAAATGTAATGAATCATCCTTGCTTCCTATATTTTGATGAAAAAATTATGGTCTCATCGAGTTAACAGATTAACTGACATTGATATAATTGAAACAATGAAATCTGCAGCAATCAGCGAATAGGAGCGTTTGTATCCATCGTAACTTACAAATTTGGAATTGGAATTGTGCCAACAAGCATTTGGTTATAAATTATTCAATGAGAAAAAATCCCAATACTATCAGCGTATCAACACACCCGTAACATGACAACAACTATCAGCAAAACAACTTTCAACATTAATCAAATCAAAAAAAGGCTACAATAATCAACTCCAAACTGTTCATCTTTAAAAAGGAAATACAACGTTTAGCATAACATAGTAAGATAAACTAAGCTGGAAAAACGCTCTGACAAGAGAAGAAGCAAAAGCAGCAGATTTTTCCAAGTACTCCAACTAAAGAGTTGAATGATTCAGAATAATGGTGAAAAGCTGACTACAATCATTGATACACACTGATTTGGAAGTTGATTACAAAAAGGAATTTTAACTCTACTTAGGATAATATTGCAATGGAAGAAGAAATCAGATATCAAAATTGAGCGTCAACATGCAAGCCAATTAAAATATATCAAATGCATTGAGTTTAGAGAGTGAGACAAACGGTAAATGTATCGCAGACTTCTGCATCAAACAAGCCAGACTCAGAAGATACAGCAACTGTTTCATCATTCGAAACTACAAAAGAAGAAGCAAAAGCAGCAGATCACGGAAGTACTTCGAAAAAAAAATTGAATGATTATGACTTGTGGTGGAAAGGTCCAAAGTTTTATCAAGAAAGTTTTCAAAGCTGAACATAATCATTACAAAAAGGAAATTCATCTCTATTGAGGACAATAGAAAAGTGGAAGAAAAAAGCACTAATCATCAATATGGAACATCAATTTCTGCCCCTAGATACAAGTAAATTAATTAATCTTCTTTAATCATATTATTTCCCTCAGAGACGGAAGAAGCTGATAAAGTGATTTAAAGGCAGATTAGTTATCAACTGAACAACATCAAGGGAAAATTAAAGCAGAGAGAGAAATCAAAGATTAATTATAAGCAGATTGAAGCTGAATATAATGGAGTAGCAAATATTTACTTTTTCGAAAAAAAATGTGGAATCTTTAGAATAAATGAGCAACGAATGTCCAGAACAAAAACAGCGAGTATATCAAACTCGAAACTCAAAAATTGACGATGGAGCTGATCATCAACAGACAGAACAAGCATTAATATGTTCTCCTACTAGACAAGAATAAATTAATCAAATCTAACTTTATAGATAGGACATCGAAATACAAAAAACACATGATGGAGAAACTTTCTGCCGATGGGCGATAAAGTTCCATGTTATGTGACGCCATCAAATCAGCAACGTGTAGCCGATCTTATTGAAAGGTAACTTCATATTTCTATTTATTATAAATTAAAGCAATTCTTTTAGACTTGTCTAAAAGAATTTTTATGGACATAAAAAGAGAAAATACCCCACCGTCCTGCCCAAAAATTTTTTCGGCACTTTAAGTTCTTTCATTTGGTGAAAATTTGGTCTATGATATTAAAGGTATATATATCTCTTAATTTTACACATCATTCTTTATTTTCAGCATAAAAAAATTCTCAGATGTGACGAATTAGAGGCAGCTGAAACAATAAGCAGGAAGCAATGCAATTTAAACAATACCAGCATCAAATAGAAAAATATCTATAAGCGAATGAACAACACATTACATCAAAGGTAATAGCAACAAGTTCATTCCATTTGTTCATGACATTAAAGTTATTAAAAATCTTTTAACCCAGCATTTTCACAGGCGAATAATGGATATCCATTACAGAATTGAGGGATCATCGCATCAACAAGTCTGAAATATTCGACAACGTAAACTTTCCTCCAATAGCTCTGACGACGATAAAGCATGATTTTGACCTGGATCAACATGACCTGAAGCAGTAACGAATGTGTTTATTGCCCATACTTCCAAAGGCTGATCATTAATCTCTTTGCAAGAGTATGGTGCGAAAGGATGAGAAGGAATCGCTGAGTCGATACGTTTGAAGGATAATTTGATATAATTATTTAATTTAAATCAAGAGAAATCTTTTAGACTTGTCTAAAAGATTATTTGTGCATTTAAATGGAGAAAATGCCCCACCGTCCTGCCCAAATTTTTTTTTCGGTACTTAATGTTCTTAAAATTTGATAATATTTTGTCTTTGATTTTATAAGTAAGCAGTATAATAAATAAGCAGGAAGCATCTGC